CCTGGTGAAGGCACACCATCTGCAGTGGGCCGATGATATCGGGTTGAGGCCCCGATTTGTGGATGGTTCAGCTCAGACGAAACGCATATAGGTCCATCTAGCACTTCCGCAGCGGAGGCAGGAGACTGGGGATCAATAGATCGACCTGCTGTGACACTAGTAGCGCTGATCCTGGGCCTCTTGATGCGAAGGGCCTCGGTCCCACTATCCAAGTCCCAAGGACCGCCGTGGATGGCACGGGAAGTAGAAGGCCGGGGCCGGCAGTCCTCCCCCTCCGGCGGAAGCCGAACCCCTCTTGTACTGTTGCTGCAATGCTCCTTGTCCCCATCAGCCTGAACCCCAGCCGCAAGTGATGCGATGGAATCGTCATAATAATTAGTAAGAAATAAAAAAAAAAAGGCGAATCTTAAAAAAAAAATGTCTTCTCTATTCCATTTGGGAATGAAGAGTGGATGAAGGAGGAATACCTGGGGGCGGTCGCGGGCTTCGAGGATGGCGTTGGCGAGGGCGCGGTAGCCATCATCCTCGATGAGCTCCCAGGAGTTGTCGAAGAGCTGGAGGAGGTTCTTGAGGACGGGGATGACCTCCTTCTTGGAGCAGCCCAGAGGCTTCATGGCCTCGAAGGCGCGGCGTGCCCGCTCCCTCCGACTCTGGGAATCCATCCGAGCCCTACCGAGAAACCCTACTCTGGTGGGTAGGGTTTGAGGTGCTCAGTCCAGCAGCCTGCCGGGGCGGGTGCCGGCGCCGCGGAAACAGAAGAGTGTCACTCGAATCAAGGAGGGGAATCTCCAACTCAAATAGGCGTCCCTTCAGTAGTTCGGTGTTCTTACCAAATAGGTCTGTGTACCAAAGGGCGTGGGTTCAAATTCAGATTCCACTCGCAACACATTTTATTTGCTACAGTGTCTTACCGAATTTTTAAGTTTTTTTTCCCAACAGTGTCTTCTGAATTTTTGTTTTTTTCCTATTTTTGTAACACAGTGTCTTCTTCCATTCTTCATTTTTTCTATTTTTGCAACAGTCTTCTGAGTTTATGGTTTTTATTTTTGTAACAGTGTCTTCTAGGTATATATTTGTCAATACACAGAACAACTTCCATTTTTCGGTTTGTTTTCTATTTTTGCGACACATAGATAGTCTTATGAGTCTATAGTTTTTTTTTACTTGTGTAAGAATCTTTTGAGTTTATATTTGTCAATACATAGTAAAACTCCAGAACAAGAAGGTAGAAGGTGGTGTTAATCTTCAGTCACACTCCTTCCATCCAGCAATGATCGCCGCCTAAGCAAAAACGGAGCCTAGCGCCCGGACACGGCTCCTATTCGACGCACCCGCCGCGCCCCCTCACGTAAATCGAAACAGAATTGCGTCCGCTACGCCCGCGTAACAGGAGAGCGCACCCACCGCGCCCACGTCACCAAGCGCTTGTGCCCCTGCTCCCAACCGCGACGTACGTATCCCCCTCCGAGCAGCGCCCATCCCACTCCAGAGACAGCGTCCGTCTGTATGGAGCTCCCTTGCTTGTGCCCGACGCCGCAGCTCCCTCGTCCCGCGCCCATCGCCCATCCATTGTTCGTATGGATGCCCTGCCGGCTCCGGGAGAGATGATGCAGCAGAAGGTGGGAGGAGAGATGCAACAAACAATCTACTTTTGAAACATCCAAATACAACAGTTGTAACATACGTCTGAAAGGCAGTTGAAACACTTGAAACATGCTTCTGAAACACTTGAAAAACACACCTAAAACACACTTGAAAACCATTGCATCCATACACAATATCCGAATAAAACACACACAATATATGTGTGAAACATATGCAACATCCAGATAAACACAATTGCAACATGCGTCCGAAAAACAGATGAAACATCCCTCTGAAACATCTGAAACACTCGAAACATACTTTTACAACATGCCTCTGAAACAATTGCAACATATGCAATATCCTCCAATCTACTTTTGCAACATCCATATGAAACAAAAGTAACATGCCTCTGAAACGTCTAAAACAATTGAAACATACAATTGCAATATAGGGGGAGAGAGAGCCTGGCGCGGGGAGTGTCATGGCCGCTGGATCTGCGGGCATTGGGGGCTCTCGGTGGGGGAGGACGCCGGTATGGGGGGAGGGGCGTTGCCGGGGTGGGGGAGGAGCTGCCGGGGGTCGGCGGCGGCGGACAACGGTGGTTGCTTCGGAGCCTGGCCATCGCCGGTGGTGGCGACGAGGACCGCCGCGACGGTCAGTGGCGGCGAGGACCGCTGCAAGCTGTCGTGCTGTGGCCACCGCTTCCACATCGCGTGTCGGGGTGGAGGAAGGGTCCGCCGGGGTGGGAAGGAGAACGCCGGGGTGGGGGACTACGCCGCCACCGGCTAGGGTCCAGGGAGGCGGCCATGGCTAGGCGTTGGGGTAGCACGAGGGGTGCAAGCCGCGAAAGGAAGGAGGAAGCGAGGGACTGGGTGCAGGAGTGAGCGAGTGAGGCGAGTTGAGTAACAATGACCGCACATCGATGTTGGGCCGATCGGCGCGCAGGCCTAGAACGACATGTCCGGCATGGATACACCTGGACCGGCAACCTCACAGAAGTATTATTGAAGTAAAAAAACGAAAAACCCAACATTGTCCCTTTCGCATGCCAACCAATGGAAGGAGACCTAACAATTACTTGAATCATCTTTTATTGTTTCTCCCTTGTTGATTAACGTAAATTCAACCTAGTGTAACTTTCTCTCCTTTTTTGGAGGACCGTCTCCAAAGACGGCCAACGGAAGCGGAGACGACGCTCAATGGCCCAGGAGCCAGGACCGTGACGAAGCTCGCGATTGCTCTGGAAGCTGATGACGAGCTCCGTACGAACGTTGCCAGATCATGCCCGCCATGGATCGGAAGCTGTCAGATCCGCTACTACAGGAGGCAAAAGATTCGACTATACACAAACCAAATAGCCAAAGGATTCGTAAAACTTCATGAATTCAAGTTCTTTCCGAACAATCGTTCCGTAGCCACAAGGATTACAACACCAATTTATCACCTTAGCACCCATGACCATCAACTGCCTACAGGTGCAATGCCATTTAGGCTTGCTGTAGCCTCAACCTAAATATCAAACAACACATGTGGCAAATAAATTTCCCCAAAACTTGTAAGGAAAGGAAGCAAACCATGTAGTGGTCAGAGGACTTACTTTATACCATATCATTCCATCAGCGCCTCAGGAGTAGCATCGGTTTTTTTCTCTCTGTAGTTAACTATATACTGCGTCCGTTAAAAAACATGACAAGAGTCCAATCTGCAAGTTTGGCCCTCATATTGTACCCTCTCTTTTCCATGCCCCCAACAGTTTGGATGGCTTGCTACATGGTATCATCCATATCCCTTAGATTCAGATCAAAAGGTCTACCATGTTCCTGCAGTACCCTTTTGATGTATACCAAACAGCTTAGATTACTTCCTATCATGACCTACTTTGAAAAAGGATCGAATGTGTTACACTTTGTACATTAAGCTTCGTGGTGTACAAATACATCCTCTATGTTCAACGTGCAAGCAATATCAACTCAGGTGTTGCATATGCTAGTCAGTTCTGTTTCAGAATTAGACTCACCACACACGATCACCCTATCTCAGGAGAGCACTTCACCCAGGAGAGACAGAGTCTTAGCATGGCCTCCATAACTTCAAATTTTCTCGATGCAGAACAGAATAGATCAATCTGTGGTTTCTTCAACTTTGCTCAATCCATATTCTTGGATGCCTGCCTCATCCCATTTCCCAACAGTCTGGTGAGAATTTACTGAGAAAGGAGCCATAGTTAGTTTGTCATCTTGGATTAATACCTTAAAAAAGTGTTGCATTTCAAGCCAAAGCAATAAGAGGGTGCTTAGACAAATACAACAACAACAACAATAACAACAACATAGCCTTTCAGTCCCAAGCAAGTTAGGGTAGGCTAGAGTTGAAACCCACCAAGAGCCCCAAGTCACGGTTCAGACACTTCAATAGCTGCTTTCCAAGTACTCCTATTCAAACATAGATCTCTAGGTATATCCCAAGCTTTCAAATCTCTTTTTATTGCCTTCCCCATGTCAATTTCGGTCTTCCTCTACCTCTCCTCATATTATTAGCTTGAATTGAGAATTATATATCAAACACTCTACAAACTAGAGCTGGTGAGTTACTGTTATCATGCTGTTAATTTGGCCGTCTGACAGGCTACTCATGTCAATTGGTTTGAGCTTCATCCCTTTGAACTTTGTAACAATCCGGTGTAATCTCAGATGGCACATATACCATTTCATATACTTTTTGTTTTGTTCCTTGGTTAACGAGTGGCTTTTTTTTTTGAACGCCGAACGAGTGGCTGTCAGATGTCCTCCAGGAGAAATTGAATTCTATAACTTTATTATAAGTATATGTTGAACATGTGTCCAAAAAGGAAAATAGAACGGGTTAGCTATGGTAACATGGTTGAATGGATATTTTGATAAACCAGGGTCGCATGTAAAAGAGTGGGTTGAAGGTACATCCGTACAGCCCTTATGCAGAGCAAGAAGGTTTACAACTTTACATATACTTGAGTGGGTACATATGTAGTGCAAGCCACTAATCAGATGCTGGGAAAATTCTATGAATAATGAGAATTAGCGTTCGGAGTGCAACTAATATGACTCAAGTCCAAACTAAATCCGTGCTTAAAAGGGAAACCATAGTAAGGAAAATGAGTTAAGTTGCAATACAGACACATTGCCAAACTTCCAAGAAATAAAAACACCACAGACAAACTCCTACAAGTACCACAAGCGACAGCTAATGTTATAACAGAATGTTGCCAAAGATTTGCAAATACCTTGAAAAAGATGAATGCATACAGCAGCAAGCGTTTGAATGATTTTGCTGCTACAAATTAAGTTGAGCCATGAGGTGGGAAGACGAAATTGGCCAACACAAAGCAGCTAGTGTCGATGGAGGGCATGAGTCCAGATATTTTGTGTGTAAGAATATCACACTTCCCCAACAGCTACCTGCAGAACATAATACAGGATAAGTTATCCTTATAATGCACAGAACTTTAGCTAAACTTGGAGGACGAGATGCAAGAACAGCATGCTTCTGGTAAACAAAGTAGTACTAATAAGATTTGAGCTTATAGATCACTAAAATTGTAAATGGACTGTATGCCTGCGCAAACCCCACAGGTTACCAGTAAATCAGCACAGCTGATCTGAAATGGACTACATGCAAGTGCAAAGCTCACAAATGTATACAAGTAAACCGGTATAATGGAAATGGATATTTATGTACAACCATCTGACTATATTTTTTTTATATAGGAAACATCAATCCTTTTCTTTTAAGTGTAAAAAGAGCTTAAAGTCTCAAGGGTTGATGTACCAAACCTTAGTAGACTGAAACCATGCTGCTGAACCACATTCATGTTTCAGTGTTCTGAATGGACCACTCATGGAAACCTCAGCTTTAAACTCTGTCCCGGACAAGTCAAGGTCATGGAGTTCGAAATGCTCACTTGCTTTCCCATTAGGCATAAACTTACCATTAGGTACTCCAGAAACTTCATGTATATCCTTTTCCTCACCTGCATAGTTTCAAAATTATGAGTATTATGGGCACACAAACAAATGGAAGGAGGTCATGGTATGCCCAAATCCATAAACCACAAGGCACAAATGTGGCTAGTGGTAAGCAAGCAGGTAATGAACCTGGTTTTGTGGCCATAATAAATCCATCCAATCTCTTTGTTAGTAAGGATGTTCCAGGAAACAACATCAAGTTTACATTATGAAGTTGTTTCCTTTCAGCATCTTCGATAGGTTTGAAGCCAAATCCTGACACCCATGTGCTAACCAACTCTGGGATGGCAGAAAGGACCAACATCTTAACATTAAATGAACGGAGCATCTGCAGTAGAGGAAATGAGGAAAATCACATAGTGACATGTAGATAAAAGTTATTAGCAGTAACATAAAAAATAATATTGATTCAATAAGAAATCAGGTATTAGCAAAGAATGGATCCGACAGGTAGATGGGAGGAAAACCATATCTTAACATTTACACACAGCTGAATTCCATGTTAATGCGATACACGGTCATGGGAAACCATAACTTGTTTCAGTACTGTTATACAGTTTTGTACTTTTGTCTGATTTCCTATTCCAGTGTACCTTTTCAATGATGTTCATTAGAATTCGGCACATTCCTTGCCGTCGATAGTCTACAGAAGTAGCAATAAAAGGCAGCTCAGCGGCTTTAGTCCCATGTACTCTGCATGAGAGAAAAAAAGATTTAGTTATCAGTATTTTTTTCTCGAATACACAATGAAAATGAAAGAAACAGATAGTTATTTTTTATTATTATTGTTTATGGTTATCTCATTATGTTATTCTATACTATGTGGAATTTTTTTGAAAGCTAACATGGCATATGCTGAAAACATGCATGTTTTAGTAGTAAAAGAATATATTAAACTGATAAAGCCAAAACGGCAGTTAATGACAAGCAAATTGGTAGAAATAACACGCATAAATTCATTAAAAGAATACTTCTGACAGAAAAGTAGGTTCAATTTCTAACAAAGACCTGATTAAAAACAATTTACCTGATAGAAGCCACACATAAAATTTCATCACCTTTCTCCAGGATTACAGTATAGAATCCCTGATAATCCACACGAGCAAAGTTTGATCTGATAAGAAGTGAACCATGTAAGTAAACCTTGAAATTACTCAGTAAAATATATATACATATTCCAGTTTCTTCTATAATATCAAAGAGAGAGAACCCTATATGAATTGAAGTAGATTTGAAAAGAAAGGGTATAATAAAACTAGCTAATCATTCAGCTGATTAACAGAACATCCCAAAGATTGTATCTTCTGTATTTAGCATAACAACAATTTTGTCAGTTCAATTTTCCAGTAAAACATGAATGAATATTATAGAAGAACCCTAAACCCCAAACCCTAAACCCTAAACCCTAAACCCTAAAATTTTCAAGATTGTATCCCCATAGTACCATTGTTCATTCTTAGACACACACGCGCGTATCATTTTGACTTGTGCTTTGACAAATCAAACCAGAAAATATAAACTGAAAAAGAATATGTAATGAAATAATGGGTAAATTAAAATCATAAGGATAAGGAATAAGGAAACTTACCCCTTGTTGTATAAAACATGAGGTATCATGTCCACACCAGTTCTAGGATCCACCATACGAATGAAACATTCCTCCAATAGAGTAAGAGCCACTGCTAATTTCATATTACATTCTGCCAGACAGGCAATCTTCTGAACAGAGTGTAGCTTCTGCCCGTCATTGTTGCATCTCAATATGGACCATGAAAGCTCACTGCCAAGAATATTGTCTGTCCCGACATGACCGCGTAGCCCTATGAATATCTATTAGCAGCAAAGGTAGAAAAACACATTAATAGAAAAGAAAGAGAAGAATAAGGAAAAAAAAATATTTGGAACCAGGACGCGGAGTATGTTAGGTGCACAAAGAAGTAGTTAACATAAATGCTGTCTAGTGTTGCATGGAGTGCTGATTGCTTCTAACCTAAATAGCCATAAACATTGACATCCAATTTTGAGGATTGAAAAAACTAGCGATCCAAGAGGTTAACCAAATTTAATCTGGGAAGGTTTGATTTTGTGAACCACGCAGTGTAGATGTACTAGTATCAGGTGGTCCCTGGTGCTAAATCCTAAGCATTCAAACATACGAATCTATTATATCTATGAGACTATGACGAGGAATGAGGGTCACGCGAATTACAATTTCTGCAGGTATGATAAAAACACAAATGGACTATGTTCACTAAAGCATCTTGCAACTTTCAACATCATCTTGACAAACTAAGTTAAATAAGTGTTACCTCTTTACAATATTTCCCACAAAACCATGTCTGAGATATTTGATCCTCAAGAGGTAGCTTCTCTAGTTCAATGCAAGTGTCATGGTCTGCCAATGGAAACAAAACTATTCAAATTGAAGTTACAGATAAGAGCATTGGAATAATTTATCTGTAATGCATCATGAAGAACTGAAGAGTGGCTAAGTTAAATAAGGCATTAAACCACTCTATGGATTTTATCAATTTATTCTTGGGCCTTGCAAGAAATTATGCTTCAGCTCAAAGCTGCTAGAAGCTTGATAAGAAGTCAATAGGGCACAGCTAGAGGGGGTCTTATTTGAAGCATAAGCTCTTTTACAATGAAAATTTGAAGCCTCCTTGAAGCAGTTCCTGTGAGAGTTGAAAAAAAATTCTAGAAGGAGCTACATTTTTACCAAATGGGGCTTTTTAGATCAACACAGGCTAATGGAATCATTTCGTAAATGAAGTAATGACTATTGAAGTTAGGCAGCAAAGTTAACATAAACTAACCCACCAACTTTCTGCTACAGCACTGCTAAGCATCATAAGGCAATAGCACAGTAGGGGAAATGGTGAAAATGACAAGACAAAGTGGAGGGAAGATAAGGTTTTACATGCATCTCCGCATTGGAAACATTTGAAAATAGCCGAGAATGTCGAAACCTCCTTTTCACTAACTGGTCCCCCACATATCTGACAAGTGCAATTATGGCAGTACCAACTACCTTCTGGAAGCTCCTGCATATGTAAAGGAATAAGCAAAATTAATTAAGTAGGAAACAATTTCACATATAGAATAAGTATTGATTCATTTAATATCATATCGAGCTATCGACACATGTTCTGGAACAAAGCATTGCAACGTTAAGGACAGCAACCTCAGAATGAAATGTATCTTTAAGCAATGTACACATAACGGCACCATGAAAAACTGGATAATAGATACCTTAGCAGACAAGCAAGCTTGATGATATGTTGATGGGCAATTGTCACAGCAAAGTAATTCACCACCATCTCCACAGAAACCACAGGTGTCATCGCTTTCATCTATTGCCTCAACTTTTCTACCCCATGCATTGCTTCTCCTGCTCATAAATTCAGCAGACCAAGCCTCAACCTGGCACAAAGTGTATGACTTGCCAGACTCTAGAAAGAGGCCTAATGAGGACTGTGGGTGACTACAACCAGCATGAGCCATGAAGCCAGACACGGATAAGGTTTTTTTGCAGCAATTGCAAACAACACCTTCCCAGGTAACCAGCCCATCCTTTATAACTTCATTACTTTTTGGATCCCGGTACTGTATCACATCTTTTACGGTCAGAAAGCCAGTTGCAAGCAACCAGCAGATTACAGTTTTGCGGGCCAAACTTACTCTCTTTCCACCCAATAGGTTTGTGCCAGCTTTCCCGATTTTGGAAATTAGCTTGTTGCCTTTTTTGTGGCTCTTCAGCTTCTTGAACTTCTTTGCAGCTGAAAAGCCTGAAGCAAATTTATGGCAGGTGCCAAGATCATTGTTTTTCACTATAGCTGTGATCAAAAGGTCCTCATCATTGATCCGCAACTCACGAGGTCTTTTCTTCATGTACTTCAACCAACCCTTTGGTTTCATTTTGGCAGTGCCTCTCTTGCAGATTTGTGAGTCACATGTTAGATAAGTTCCCAGAACATCAGCACTAGATTCATGGGATAACTCAACAGGTACAGTATTTCCTGTTGGATCACTTTGTGAATCCTCATAAAATTCTCCATGGGATGGGAGTATCTTTTTCCAGACCTTGCCATCATGGCAGAACGCTGTGGCATCTGACTGTGACTCCCTTGTAGTACAGTGAGTTTCTGGGAATGTATTGTAATCCTTAAGTTGCTTGCTCACTGAAGAGAGGAGCATGTCACACTTCCTGCTTTGGTCATCTTTATCTAGCTTTTCTGATTTTGTTTCAGCTTTCATATCGTCTTTTAGTGTGCCAAAACCTGAACACATACCGTGCTCCTCAAAGGCATTGGTATTTCCTGGGTCAGCCATGTCCATGGTTGCTACATTGGTCCCATCCAGTCCAGCTGAGCTAATATCAAATGTCCTTTTCGATTTGTTCCTTGACTTTTTTACAGAGCTATTAAGAGCATTTGGTTGAGCATAAGTTTGCCTTCCATCATCACTTGCATCGATGTGATGTTTTGTCTGGTCACTTGCATCGATGTGATGTTTTGTCTGGTCACTTGCATCGATGTGAAGTTTTGTCTGGTCAGTTGCATTGTAATTCAGACTCTCGTTGCAGGAAAGCTTTGGGTTCGTATCCCTATCGTTGCTGTCTTCCACATCATGACAGCTTTGTAAAGACTGATGGCCATTGTAGCTCTCAGTTGCAAGTGTGCTGCAATCAGAGTCTGTGATCAGTGGAGTCAACTGAATCATTCGGCTTGCCAAAAGTTCACTGGCTTTGTGCATGGTCTTACTTTCCAATGACATATCTGAGCTGCCATCAAGAACAAAAGTTGAACTGTCGACAGCTCTAAGAGTTTTATGTTGCTGCAGAGCAGTGATTTTCCTACTGATGAACACAACAGCTACAAAAGGGTCCAGGATCTGCCAGCGCTGAAGAAGCGTGAGTGCATTTTGCTGGTTCGCAAGCATCCTATCAACATAGGCCATTGTATCTGTGAGATCCTTCCAAAACGCATCAACATCTGACCACTCCTTTGGATACCTTCCCCTTTCTGAATCTGGGGAAGCTTCATATAACTTGTTGCCACAAAACTTCCAAGCCTGGGTTAGTGAGGTATGAACCGCTTCCCTGTTTGGAGCTGTGAAGTAGGATGCCATCTTAGCCCTGTCATTCCTTTTCCGTGGCTTAATAGTCCATCCAGCGTCCTTGAAAAGGCGATGTGCATGTGCTTCCAGCTGGTCAGGAATATCCCTGCCCAGTGCCTTCTTGGAAACAGCAGCTGCCGGGCCAGAGTGTACTGCGCTGCCGCATCCATGAACATCAATTTCATCCAGGCAACTAATATTCGCATCATGGGTGCCGTTCTGGCAAATGGCGCCATCGAGCTGGGTGAACTGACCAGGGCTGAACCAAAACCGGGACTGCTGAGGTATTGCCGGAGTACTATGAGCTTCTTCGCTATAAAACAGATGCTGCTCTACTCCCCCTCTGTCAGAGAAATCCTTTGTACTTGCACATAGGGGATAAGTGGTGTCATCCATCAGGCCTTGATCATAAGCGAAGCATGCATTGCTAGGGAATTGCTGCTGATCCTGGAGCCACTGATGCGAAAAGGGATCTGAAAGGAGAGTGGCACTCTGGAATTCAGAAATCTCCGCTAGTGCTTCTATGTAGGAAGGCATGGGGTCATCGACCGCGCTAGTGCTGCTGCTGCAACCCAGCCCGAGCGCGTTGCACATCCCAGCTCCAACATCTTGCGTGTGCACATCCAAAATGCTGTGAGCAGCATCTGCGCCGACGAATTGGTTTTGGTCATCGGAGAGGCCGAATTGGTGTTGGTCATCGGAGAGGCCGAGTAGATGAGTGGCACACTTATCCCCAGGCTGCCAGGAACCCATGAATCCCTGCAAAAACGCAGCAGCATCCAGGTCGGCCCCGTTCTGCTGCGCACGAGGGTGTGCATGCTCCTGAACCTGGAGATGAAGGTCGTGGTGAGGCCTATTGTTTGGCTGACTACTATGATCCATTCTGGGGTGTGGATCAGCAGTGGCAGCGGCAGGCTGGTGCTGGTGCTGCGCATGGGAGGGAAAGGGAACGGGCGAGATCTCCGTGGCCTTGAGGTGGGCAGAGGTGGCGGTGTGGACGAATCCAAGGTCCATCTCGGCGGGCAGATGGGTGGTGGCGGCGTTGTCGGCGGCCCCGCAGAAGACCTCCTTGAAAACCTGAAGCTCCAAGAGCGATCTGTCGAAGGCGGCGTGGTCCTCCATTCCCATGATGTCCTCGCCGAAGATGAAGCGCATGGCGTCGTCCTCCTTGAAGCCCAGCATGTCGTCCGCGTGGCCTCCCGCGGCGGCCATGCTAGTGGTAGTGGTAGCTAGCAGCAGCTAGGGTAGGGACTAGCGAGCCTGCAGAGTTGAATTGGAGAGCGGAGTGAGCAGCTAAAGCTTGGTCGGTGACCCCGCGGGGGAAGAAGAACGTGAGATCCAGCCATTCCAGGCAAGTGGTCTGTACCTGAGCGAAATGGGCGGTCGGCGGTCGGGTCGGGGAGGCAGCGGGAGCAGAATTGGGCAGTCGGATGCAGAGGGCAGCAGCTGAGTCTCGAGTGGCCTGCGCTGGATCGAGAGAATAGTGGTGGGGAGGAGCGGGCGGAGCAAATCGGGGGCGAGATCCGAGGCGAGCGAAGAGGGGAAGCGGCCTGCTGCCTCTGCCTTCCTGTCAAGGTTTGGGCGCCCCGCCCCGGCGAGGCCGAGGAGAAGAGGAGAGAGGGCAGGGGACGGCGGCTTGGCTTGGCTTGGTAGCTGAGCGCCGGCGGCGGGGCGGGCGTGTGGGTGTGGAAGTGAAGCAAAAGCAAGCAAAGCAACGGCGGTCAAGAGAGAGCTCGCTTCGCTTCCCTTCCCTAGGCTTGCTGCAAGTTGGTTCCCTTGCGTTTGTTTCGTGATGAGTGATGCCGATGATGCGAAGGATACACGTGACATGCTGTGAAATAGAATAGCCAGCGGCATCTGGCCCTCTTGCTCGTTTGAAACATTTTGCCTCCAAGAACCAAACACCCAAAATGCAAGAGACTTTTCTCCCGTATGTAATTATAAAAAAGATTTTTCTCCTCAAGCGCCAGAAAAAAAGGTCTTGACTACTCTTCTCGATTTTTTAGGTCATCCATAATCACAAAAATTTAGTCAGGCTCTAGCGCATAGTTAAGTTAAATCTTCATTGAGAATGTGAAAAGGCGAAAATGATTTTTTAAGTTTAAATATATTTATTAATTTTTTTGAGCCTCATATAGCGACTTCAAATGAAAAACTCAAAACTAGAAAGTTGTCTAAGATCGATATCTATAATTTTCATATAAAAATTTTTTTAGAATTAAATGAAAATAATTTTATATGATTTTTCTTAAGTTCAATATGTTTTTAGTTTTTTTTTCATTTAAGTGAATAAGACTCAAAAAAAAAAAAAAAACTAACATGGCATTTTCGCCTTTTCATTGCAGCTTTGCTAGAGCTCGAACGATGGAAGTGGCATGGAGGACCAAAAAAGTTGAGTAGTGGGCCGAGGAGTTGAATTTTTCTATAGGATTTTCATAAAAATCTCAAAATACAACCTTTCATTTAATGTCCATAAGAGCAACACGAGTTTATTATGCATGCATACTCGATTTGCCTTTTTCTTTCTTTTTTCAATCAATCAGGGAGAAGACTATTCTCGGCTTGTTTGGCTGGGCTTATACGATCATATATGATCGTGGATTATAAGCTGAAACAATATTTTTCTCTCACACCAAACCAGCTAAACCAGCCAACAATAAATAATCCACGTTCGTTTACGACGAAACGAACAGGCTGTCTATTTATGGCTTCAATTTTCTTTTTGTCTACTATGTTAGTAGTATTATTTAAGGCTCCGTTTGATCAGCTAATTTTTTTATAAGCTAGAAGAATGGCTGAAGTAGTGAAGTGAGATAGCTAATAACCTTTTCATAAGTCTGGTGGTTTAATAGTTCATAAAATACTCACTTCATTTCAAATTATAAGATGTTTTAGCTTTTCTTGATACATAGGTTTTGTCATGCACTTAAATATACACCATGTCTAGACTCTAGGCATATAAGAAAAGTAATATATATTCAGAAAAGCCAATATATACGTCTTATAATTTGGAATGGAGGAGTAGTTTATAAGCTGAACTGTAAGGTAGGTTGTTGGAAAATGGCTACAGCTTTTTTTAGCCATTAGCAGTTTATTTTAGCCAGTACATATATAACGTAAGCCTAGACGGCGTTCACATACACGCTGTCAACTATTAAAACACCCACCTAAATGGGGAAGAAAACATGGCACAAGAGCAGGTACTACTCGTGTCACGGTAATGCTTGTTAAAAGAAACTCGGCCTTCAAATGCCGTTATTAACGAGTCTAGGGACCTGAATCTGCAGTTTGATACTTTTTTAAGGTTTTCTACGGTTTGATACTCGTCTGAGCCTAATAATAAACAAATTCCTAGTCCTAGTAAAGGAATTAACGCATGGGAAGCCCAATGGGTGGATGGTGCAGCCCAGCTGAAGTAGAAATTTGCTCGCGAGAGAAAGAGGTGCTAGATTGGGCCAGTGTTATTGCAGTGGGCCGGAGTTTGGATTTAGGCAGGCAGGCAGGCCGTGGGGCTTTGCTTTGTTTTCCCAGGCAGCCAGCGAGCGAGCGGCTGAGCGCTACCATTATTACTAATTAGTAGTAGTATAGGATATAGGAGGAAATGGCACATGGTCGGCCCAGTAATTTGGATTGGATTGTTCTATTTATTATTTCTAGAGTAAAATCCACTGACGGTCCCCGAACTTGTTCGGCTGTGTCATCCCGGTCCCTAAACTCGTAAATCGACCGTTCAAGTCCTTAAACTTGTTCGACTGTATCATCTAGGTCCCTAAACTTGCAAATCACCTGTTTAGGTCCTCAAACTTGTTCAGTTGTGTTATCCTGGTCCCTAAATAATATAAATTTGTAAATTCAATATATATTTATAGAACTATCCAAAAACTTATAAATCTTATTTTGTTGGACTCCTGGTAACATGTACTTTAAATTATAATAAAAGAAATCACCATGTACTCCCTATTTTTAACTCTGTAGTTAAATGACTAAATAGGCATGTATATTTTTATAAATCCTAAAATGTATGTGCCTATTTAGTTATTGAACTATAGAGTTAAAAATAGAAGGTACATGGTGATTTCTTTTATTCTAATTTAAAGTACATGTTATCAGGAGTACGATAAAATTAGATTTATAATTTATGGACAATTCTATAAATATATATTGAATTTACAAGTTTACAGTATTTAGGGATCGGGATGACACAACTGAAAAAGTTTGAGTACCTAAACGGGTGATTTGTAAGTTTAGGGACCTATATGATACAGTCAAACAAGTTTGAGGACCTAAACGAGCAATTTGAGAGTTTAGGGACCGGGATGACACAGATGAACAAGTTTGAGGACTTGAACGATCGATTTATGAGTTTAGCAACCGAGATAACATAGCCGAACAAGTTTGAGCACCGCCGGTGCACTTTACTCTTATTTCTATGTGCTTGCCGATTGCGGAGTCCTGAGCGGTAGGCCTAGGCGTTCGGTTCTACCAAACCGAACCTATCGGTTCTTTGGTTTTTCAGGAAGTTCGGTTCTCAGGAAACTCGGTACCGATCGGTTCTTCAAAAAACTCGGTACTGACCAAGTTCGGTTTCGGTTAGTTCGGTTCGGTTCTCAGCTCCAACCGAACTAACCGACCAATTATTAAACAGGTTATATTAGAAAAATTCAGCAACATTTTGACTGTTTTCAAGGCATAAATGACATGACAACATATGCAAATCAATAAGTCACAACCAAATAACCACAACCAACACGTCAGCACATTCACAAATAACAAGTTCACAACCCAATTACTGATCTCTTGGTACAGATTTACAAGTTCCTCCCATCTGTTTTGGTTCTTCGGTTATTTCGGTTAACCGACGGGAGGAACCAATTTAACCAAACAAAGTCCGGTTCCTAAGAACTGAGAACCGAACAGATAACCAAAATTTCGGTTCTCGGTTAGTTCGGTTCGGTTCTCGGTTCTCGATAAAATTTGCCTAGGGCTACTGAGGGGCAGGTAGCCCTACCCCTACTATACCTGAATAATTGCTTTGCTTTGCTGCAGGTAAACACATCCGTCGGGAAGTAGCTATAGTATCCTCCGTCCACGTAATAATGCAATTATTATGGTATCCATGCCGACTCAATTTTGAACGAGGTTATAGTAAAAATAGTATTAGCATTTTGTCGACACGGAATTTCGTCCCGTGCCGAGGACACACGTAGCAAGTCGGAAGGGTCCGCTCGATGGAGCTGGAGATCCACCTAGCTTCAGTGCAAGGGTGGTCGATCCTGCGCACTCCTCCCAAGACGTGCCAGTCAATTTGACCCTACAATTGACAATGAGAGAAAGTTTATCAGTAATTAAGGGCGGAACGTGCCGGTGTTGCCAGACAGTCCCGAATGTGCGGCTCTGAGAGCCGATATGAAAGAAGATCGACTAAATAGTCGATTCCAGCATATTCATAAGAATAAATCGGTTAAAGCTCATGGGGTTGCGTAAGAAGAATCGATTATCGTTCAGGATGGATGTCATTCTTTAAACAAATATTGGTCAATGGCAATAAGATATAAAAAATAATTAGTTCATGCTAAGCCAATAACTACAAGTAACCGAACCTCTTTTTATGAAAGAAATAGTTCATCATCATTCAACCATTTAATAGAGATAAATTTAATGAATATATTGGATCTCATCTATCGCTATGACCAGTGGGGCATGCGGCAGAATCATGCAGGCCGTAGAAACAACAATAGACTCGACGACCCTAACTTATTACTAATATCAGTGGGGCATGAGGCAAAATCATGTAGGCCGTAATACAATAATAAGATCATAGGGCTAACATGTCTTTCAACCTATACCTACTTCAACGATCTCGTGATGCGAACTGTTTATGAAAGCGCTCGATATCGACTAAAACAGCCGATTCGGGCATAACGCACAGTTAAGGTCATGTCCTCTCAGGAATATATCTACCAAATAACGATGCCCACTCTACGGTGCTAATAGTGGGGTGTGAGGCAGAATCACATTTACCGTGATAACGGGCCATGAAACAATTCTCGCTAGCCAATAGATCTACTCAAGATCAAACATGCCTTAACCGCGCGCTATGCACGATCAAGATTGACGTAGAACAGCCGATAAAACATAACTCATCGTTTAAAGTGCAGATTAGATCAGTTTAGATTAACAAA